GAGAGGAGAGGGAGGAGAGAGGCAGTTTACTGCTTTTACAAAAACTAAGGCACAGCATCCCTCTCACCACCACCACCACACACATCCCAGACAGATATCCAAGATCTATTAACTGAAAAACCGTATACTATTCTTCTTTAGGTAACAGGATAAAAGACTTCCGGGACAAAGTTTCTATTGCTAGGCCTTCAAGTTTGCTAACTTCCTCTTCTGAGATGTTTAAATCTATCCAGTGTATTTTTCATCTCAGACCTTATAGATTCTGTCTCTAGATTTGGGTCCTTTTTATATACACTAAATGTTATTATATTCAAACATATGTGCCAGTCCAATTTCCATGCAGAACTGACTAGGCTCTCGATGTTAATAAGTTGTTTAAGGAAATCCTATCATGAATAATTGTATTCTTTATATTTTAGCTGATTAAACTGAATTAAGAACTACAGAAAATTCTAGATATAGTTTAACAAAATTTACCCTAAGTTGTGAAATTGCTGCTTTTCCTTCCTCACTTTCTTCATCAAATTCATCATCACTCCACTCCCAGCCTCCATCTTCTGTCTTATGAAGACGGCCACTGGAACCTGGTACTCTCCGAACCTGCTCATAAGGAAGAAACATAAATTATGGTAGTGCTTCACACTTACAAAATAGAAAATGCAGTCATATTTTTCTATCACTTCAACCCATTAAGCCAATAACTATCTTTTTTTCTTTTATTCCTTTTTAATTTCAAACTAATATGAGAGTACACATGATTCAGTTATGTTGTTTACAAGTAGATAATCATCTTCCCCTTAAGTGCTCCCATACAAATTCATATATTCCAACCCTCTCTGTTCATAACCTCTGCTGTCTCCACAACCGCTGATGTTCCCTTGTACTCTGTGCCCAAACAACATCAAAATCCTTCGTATGTAAAGCCATAGTCAAATGTATTTAATGTTTTAATGCCCTTGGATAATGAAGAAAAAAGAGTTTTTGAGTCATTTGCTCTTCTTTAAGTTTTTAAGTCAAAATTGTAGTTTTCTATACTTTACAAGTTTCTATGCAAGTGTGAAGAAAAAGAGCAATCTCCTAAGCACTAATTTCTCCACAGGAAATAACCACTTTCAATTTATTTTAGCTTATTTTAGAATTTACATTCATCTCTCTAATGCAGCGGTTCTCAATCTATGGATCACAACCCACAGGAACTGTATTAAAGGGCCATGGCATTAGGAAGCTTGAGAACCACTGCTCTAATGTGTTTCTATCATTATTCATTAATATTTTGGTTTTAGGAATTATTTATGGAACTTCCCACAATGGAAAATGAGAATTTAACCCTATTATCAATCTTCTATTCTTCTCTCAAGATAATTTTGATCAAATCGATATTCAGTGTTTGCATAACATAATTAAACACACAATACTCATGGTTGAGCCTTTTGGTATATTACTTCTACTTCTCTTTCCCGCATTATCTTGTTTCCCCTGAATACTTATTTTCTCAGCTGTGAAAATCTTTTACCACATTCAAATAAATTATGTATTCTATCAGCAGCATCTTCTTGAAGACTCTCACCAAAGCCTCTTGCTTTGCTCCAAGGCTAATTTCACACCATGTCTGCTATTTCAGATTAAACTCTACCATCATCCAGTGGACTATACTTCTTCATCACATATCTGTTTTAAGTACTTTCTCCACTATTAGCATGGTATATTTATTAAAGCCATGCATTTCTGAACTTATCTTGACTCCATTCCCACACTTCTTTCATACTTTCTTAAAAAAAAAAAAAAAAAACAGATTGGCTTAGGAATCATTTTCTTTCATAATTTTGAAGATAACTGCTCTCTTATGATCTGGCTTCTAAAGGTGTTCTTGGGGTCCTCATGAACTCATGGTTCTGTTCATGACATTTTCCCCCTTCTCTGGAAGACTATATTGTTCTTTTTGCCTCC